CATGCTGAACTCTGCATGCAGGATATGGGACTCATTTAAACTGGATTCCAGAGCCTTGGATGATGCCTCCCAGTTGAACAGTACACCTCTCAGTTGATAAAACTCTCCCATAAAAGCCATGATGCTGGCACTTTTCAGCATCCATGTGTTTTTCCCATTGGTGGAATAACCATAAAACATCTGCTCTAAAGTTTCGATTAAACAAGGCCAAACATGTTAGTGTTTTAAAGCAGCAAGGAAGTCAACCACGCTGACATGAACATAGTTGGGGAAGTCCCCACAACTTCCTTGGGAGCAGAGATGACTCTTTGCCCTTGGCCAAGGGGCACAGACCTGTCCCTGCCTTGCTGTTCTCACGACACTGATGTCATTACATTTAGGATGTAATTTATGGACACAGTCATGCTGGAACATGATCTAGACTTTTCATAAAGCAACCCAGTGACCTAAAAAGGGGTTTAAGCTTTCACAGAGTCATTTTGCRGGGGGTGAGAAGCTTCAGGAAGACACCCCGAACTGCTTATTCTTATCCTCAGTGGGAAGGGACATACGGCCTGCCAGGTGTTCTGAGGTGTATTTCTTTGGCAGATGATCTTTTCTTGTTCTTTYTACTCTGCTCAGGGGTAAGTTAAGKTGACAGCTCCAGGGTAAGGACTCCTCTGTTATCAGAACACACTAGGCACTGGTCTGGTTAWTTCATAAAATGAAAGCAAAGATGAAACTTCCCTGAAGCATTTCTGTCAGGAAGACCAAGGAAACCCAAACTCCTTCTTGAACACAGAAGCATTTTCCTCATCATCTCCCTGGACCACTACCCAAACATTAATAGGATCAACAGGAATACGACATGAGCTTCAGCCTCCCAGGCCTACCCCACCATGGTCCTATTGCAACCCAGTGATGCCATATGAAGTTGTGGAGCTGGGAGTTGTGCTGAGCTGGGGATGGAGTCTGTGCCAGAACCACTTCTGGGCTCTCAAGAAATCCATTTACATACAGCAGCGACATGCTTTCCAACCACAGAGAGGCTTGAGGCACCCTCCCAGCCTGAGCTGACAGCATTGCCCCTGGCCCGTGGAAGGATTAGCTGACAGACTGGAGATAAGGATTTAGGCTTATTCTGCTGCTGTTTGCAAATAAATGACGCAGTAAATGTTTTCACAGGGAATGAAACCAGCAGAAAAGCCCAGGGGATGGCTGGGTCATTCAGGTGACAGCAGCCACACAGGATCTTCGGCCTCGAGGATGCTCTTAACCTCCAGCTTCAGGTACAGCCTGTGCAGTCCAGGGCAAGAGCCCCACCTTGCTCAAGCTCACATCCTGACTCAGACCTGTGCTGGCATCTGCACTGGTCCATGCCAAAGCACAGGAGGGCACACGGGTCTCAGGGCC